TATATTCCGCAATACCTATGTTTCTCAATAACTGTTCTTCAGTACCTATGTTTCTCAGTACCTATGTTTCTCAGTATCTATGTTTCTCAGTACCTATGTTCTTCAGTACCTATATTCCTCAATACCTATGTTTCTCAATAACTGTTCTTCAGTACCTATGTTTCTCAGTACCTATGTTTCTCAGTACCTATGTTACTCAGTACCTATGTTTCTCAGTACCTATGTTACTCAGTACCTATGTTTCTCAATAACTGTTCTTCAATACCTATGTTTCTCAGTACCTATGTTTCTCAGTACCTATGTTTCTCAGTACCTATGTTTCTCAGTACCTATGTTCTTCATGACCTATGTTTTTAGTAGCTATAATCCTCAGTACCTTTGTTCCCCAGTACCTATGTTTCCCAATGTCTACGTTCCTCAGTACTTATGTTCCTTAGTACCTTTTTCCTCAGTATTTATGAACCCCGGTCCCTATGATCACCACTAGCTCATATGCACTTTAACTTAATTTTGTTTAGCTTTTTCAAAAAAGACATTTGAAGGTGGAGCCAAACAACTTTCATGACTTTTTGTTTAAAACCCTGGGAAACGTAGGTATAAAAGAATGCTACATAAGCTAATATTAGCCTTCTACACTTTTGTCACAGCTGGCTAACAGTGTCACCTAAATGTTTAGAGGAATAATATTAGCTAATGTAACAMTCTTTAACACCAGTACGTCATTTTCGAGGAGTTCTTTTACAGGCCTGAAAAACGCTAAACTTCATGTCCTCATTTGGCTAGCTATTAGCCGAGCCTCTACAAATCTTTCCATGCTCTCTACACTCTATGACTAATAAGTGTTGTCACAAAAAGAGAGACAAGGAGAACCAGCCTGTTCATTTTGATCACACAGAAGAAACCACATTTCTAAAGTAACAAAAAGGCATTTCTTTCTTTATGAGTCAACATTTTGGAAACAATAAAACGTACAATCAGTCTGACAGTGACATACTTTTGAACAAATAAATTCTGAACAAAGACATGATGATGCTTCAGCACACGGCGGCACGCTGAATTTAKAGCTGCAGAAACAAACTGGTGGTTGTCAGTGGAGTTTTAACACTTTTACTCCCCTCACTGCAACGAAGCTAAAAGAACTGAACTTCATGCATTTTTTGTGAAACAGGAATGTGGAGAATTAATACAGAAGTGTTTGCACCAGGCTGCACTCTGCCAAAACCTAAATAAAACCAACAAAATTTAGAACAACAAGTCGTACTGGACAAACACTGCTCTGTCGTGTTGTCTAATTAAAGCACAACAACAGACAACACTGTTTCCTGTTCAGCACTGTGTTAAAGAAAATGGAGGKTTTACCAATTGAATTACCTTTTCAAGTTCTGCAGAAGCTTGGTAATTACCACGTCATGGGTTAAAGTGAAGTACACAATACAGTACACTCCTAACGCTATTCTGTGTACGTTGACTAAGAGCATGAACACATTATCCTCCTAACACTATACACTGTGTACATGTCCTTAATCAAAGTACACAGTATATTTCTCCAATGACGTGTTATACAAATAATTTAACCTGAACCATTTGGACCAAAGGGATTAATGAGAAGAGGATGATTTTGAACAGTTTTTCTTTAGTTTACATTTTTGTCATTTTAGTGTTATAAATTATAATGTTTTGTAATTATGTATTAATACATTTTTTGCAAGACTTGTGTCAGATAAAGTCATACAAATATTTAACCATCTCCATAACTTTTCAGTGCAAACACATGATGTGTGTGTGTGTGTGTGTGTGTGTGTGTGT